ATAAAAGATAATTCAGGGCTACAGCAGTATTTCATTCACAGGACTGAGACTGAGGCAAAAGCACAATTACTACCCAGCATTTGTTATTTTTAATGACGGGGTGAATATTTGTTTAATATTGAAACCTCATTCAATATTAATAAAGACACAGAAATCAAGAGCTCACTATAACTTCAAGGTAGTTAAATCTGCCATGGCTTCTACTGACTTGAAATGACTTTAAATGATCAGGTCATCAGAGTAAATAGCAAAGTGAAAACTCTCCAGACAATAATTTGATCACCCCTGCTGCATGCAAAATGGGAATACATGCAATTAATTGCAATGCCCTTGAATACTGATGTAAATTGGCACTGAGCTCAGTCTAAGCAGCGCGCAGTTTCTCTGTGCGGTCAGGCCACCTCATTATCAAGCCCGACTCTTTGGTCTCACACTTAATAATCGAAATGGCTGGACTCCTGTACCTCCTAATGTGGGTTTAGCATTTACCTCCACATCTAATTGCTAAGGATTTGCCTATTCACTGCAGCAGGTTGAAAAAAAGAGACACATCAAATATCTCAACAGATGCTTTTTGTATTCAAATCTCCAGGATGCGCCAACAACTCTGAACACACCAGACCGGTCTTCTCATTGTCACATTATTCAAGCTGGGATAAATTCTCGGATGTTAGAAAGCCCTGGTATTTAACATATAACGAAGACATTTCACAATGTACCATGTCACAGAATCACAGATAACCAATTTGTAAAAATCTAATCTTCATTGAAAGATGGTCATTTCATTACAGGAAGGAAGGGGGCTATTACAACAAATGAAGGGCAGTGCAGGCAGCTGTCACAGCCCCATCAATTGGTGCAAACATTATCTTCACAAGCCTTGACCAGTTTCAATTACTTCCTGACCCTTGACCTCAGTCAGCTTGGAACTAAGCAGATCCAAAGGGAGGTGGAGTTGACTCTTCAAAATCCCCCAGTTCTTGATTCTGAAACCATTGTGAAACTTCATGCCATCTCAACCTCAAAGTGATCCATCTGTCCAAGGGCATTAATTTACTTGGACACCAGGAAAATGTAGCTTAACCCTCATCTTTTAAAGTCTTTTTATGTAAGGAAACTAAAAATGCTAGACCATAAGGTTTTGTCTGCTGGACAATTTGAAAACGGGGTCAGATTTCAGGCTAAGGATCCAGTATCAAACAGACTGCAGGTAAATCTTTTGGCAGCATTTATAGCTCAGGACTGGTTACAGCTAAAGGCAAAGACATGCAAACACATAGCTCAAACATAAAAAAGAACACCTGACTCTTCATCAAATTTAAAATAACAATAAAAAATAATTTGGATGTACTAATTATTCTGATAACCTGATAATAACAGCTGAATTTACCAGATGTACTGAAAAATAATGTTTTCTTTTTGGGACATTTTTATTATTTATATATTTTATTAAGATTGCAGCAAGGGCTAAAATCACAGTATGGGTTTCTTTAAATATTAACTTCTTTGGCTATAAAGACAACTAGAACCTTGTGTTACCTCAAACAATAAAAGCTAAAATTTCACTCTTAGCCCTGTATATACAGAAGTAGTTCAAGTCTGTAGCTGCGTAAGCGTGTGCGGGCTGCAAAGATACAAGTATAGGTTTATTCCATGCTGAAAAGAAAGGAAAATAAACACAACATTCTGGCTGTGGAGCCTTCTTCGGGTGTTAGAAGAAGGCTCCACAGCCCAAACGTTGTGTTTCTTGTCTTTTCTTTTCAGCATGGAATAAACCTATACTTGTTCCTATATACAGTATATATATATGAACATTTTAGTGGAAAGGTCTAAGGATGGTTTTAACCATTTGCTATCAAGCATAACCTTTTGTTCCATTCGACCCACTGTAGGCACATACGGTGAAAACCTGACCTTTTCTCAGTTACAGTATGCACACCCCCTTTGTCCATTATCTATTGCATTATGACCTTCTCTCTTTGAGGCAGTTTGGGTGCCTAGAGCAGATAACTATCTGAGACAGCCTTGCAGGATTAAAATGCATTTCAGGCTCTCTCTCTCTCTCTTACCTACCCAAAACCAATCAGCTGTGAAGTTTAGCCTCCAGCCAAGGACTAAAATGTTGTGCTTTCAAGCGAGTTCCAGTTCTGTAACAAGTCTTAAATTAGGTCCCAGCAGTGGTTTAGAGTTGCCACCTTCTTAGTTTCAAATAAAAGAAACAATTTGTTGGCAGTCTCTTTCTTAATGCCAGTTTTATAACACTACATCAAAACAAATAACTGAATTCCCGGTTTTGGACTGCTGTATCAGACTATAATCAATGCACTGTGGGAGCTGGCAGGTGATTGTTTTGTTGGGATAAATAGTGATTCAGCTGTTAAATTATTACACTGCCAATTCATTCATTTAATCTCAGTAGGATTATAATGCAAGGGCGTGATCAATTTTGTACTTTAATTTCCCTTTTAGTAGTAGCAGAGAATACTTCACAAAGAACAAGAAAAAAAAAGTATGACATACTGTAGCCATGCTTGAACTCAAGACCAAAAATCTCCTTCATATATTTAACTGTTAAGCAAAATGTAATTTCTAGTTTAATAGAATTGATACTTTTTGGTGATGCACAACAAATTTTCAGATAAGGTCACAGCACAGAATCTCTAGCTTCTGCTGCAATGATATCAAAACTATGAATCAGAATTAGACCTCCCAGCACTGCAGGCAAAGAAATGTAAAAACGGGCCTATTTCACTTAATGGATACAATCAGCAACTTCGGATACAATCTTCTGGTGCAAAAACGACTTAGTGCAAATAGAAGCATTCTGACAATTATTTGGCTTTAGAAGCTCACTGGTTAACAACCAAATTCCTCAATGTTGCAGAAAAAAAGAAAATCAATTTGAGCTCCAGTGCTCTTGCGCAAAGCTGCTGATGCTGGCAGTTCCACATCACTTCTGCAAGCAAAAGCATTTTCTCCCTAATTATATTAAATTACAGGGTCGGGCTGCGGTTTCACAATCCTGTCCTTTCATTCTCTCCCAGAATCCTCTATTTTCCTCTCTCCTGCTTTCCTCTTAAAAAAAACATTAGCTTTTGTGGGACATGCTAGGCGTTTACTATTTTCCTCTTTGGAGGGTTAAGAAGCTCGTCGGTGAAAATGACTCCCTATCTTGTCCAGGTCCAAACAGGTTTTCTTAGTATATTACAAAATAGCAGGAGTCAAATTCATTTTCATCACATCAGGTTTTTTTTTTAGGTATTAAGCAGCACTTCTCTGATGTGGTTATCATGGCTGCATGACTTTGTGGAGCCCCTGCCTACTATCAGCACATAAATAATCCTCAGGCGGCTACTTATTCAAATCAATCTTTCCATTACGCCCCAAGTACCTCTGACATAAAAATAACAGTTCACCCCCATCAAATTGTGGGAGGCTACAACAGCCCACAAAGGGATCTACTTTCTTTTACTGAATCATCTCTATTCTTGACCAATGTCTGCATGAAAAGAACACACCACATCAATAAGGGAACTTGCTAGTTCTAGTATTTGTATTGTGAGACAAGCTAGATGGAGTTCTAGCATGAAAATCAATTATCTACATGGCTATGTTGATAAAACTGTAAACCCCTGATATATAAGCTTTAAACAGAGGTAAAGTATTATATGGTGGTGATAAAGAATCATTTAATTGCTTAATTGTGGGAAAAGGATTACCCAGCTGTTGAAATTGTCTACACTTGTCATTAAACACTTTTAAACACGTTTGATTCAATGTCAAAATATAAGACAGGATTCCTTTCTGGCAAAAATATTTAATGCAACACACATCGTTTTTTGAGAACAATGATAGCAGCCTTCCCATGGGGAAAAAATCTTCCAATACACATGTAAAACATTCCTGGTTAAGCACTAATTGCTTATGCACTGCATAACATGCTACACTACAACTCAGAAATAGTTCTACAAATACAGTATAATAAAAAACTCAGCAAAATTAAAATCCCAAGGAGCTTCACTATTTCATCTGGTGTAATTAAGGAATTAAGTTGTCACATTGAATACAGAAGACAAATAACAAACATTTTATGTCTGCTAATAAATTGAATATCTACATTTAAAAGGCTTATGTTGCAAACAATTATTGTTCCGGTTTGCACTTCTTGGTTTTCTCATATTTAATTTGACACTCATTAACCCAAATGTACGTTAACATCTCAAAACCCATTTTTGTTTTAACAATAAGTGTGAGTTTTATTTGGTAAGACTGCAGATCTCATCAAGACATTTATCATACTTTTGGAAGATTTGTTTTTATTTTTCTGTGTGCAGAGATGAAAAGAGATACACAAGGAAGTTAATGCATAGAGAAACTAGCCAAGTATCAGGTCTCCTGGAAGGCAAATTTGCATAAGTACATTTTTTCTAAAAATTCTTCTTATCAGGCAGGGCAGTACAACTGTTTGAGACTGAATTAAATGAAATTTGGTCCGATAAAATACTTCTTGCAATGAAGCCAAGTGAAACAGAAAATACCACTGACCAGTATTTAGTTGCTTCAATCACTAAGAAGATTGTAAATACACTTTTTTTTTAACAGAGTACTGTCTTATGCAGTTTTTGCCAACATTCCTCTCAGTTTAAAGTACTTTTATGTGTTTTTAATGTATGTATTATCATAATTAGTCTAGATTACAATTTTAAGAGAAGGAAATAAAACAGACGGTGTTGAGACAATTGTAAGAATTTTCCTTCTAGTGGTCTTACAAATTCAACTGCGATGCAGTTTGGGTGCTATGCTAATTCTGAAAGGCCTAAAATGACCCTGATGTTTTTTGTAGTGATGAGGTCTTAAGAAGAAGTGAGAATTTGGTCCCCCAAAAAAAGGGCATCATTACTTGCAGATGTTTGTAAAGATAATTAAAACTTGAAGCTGCAACAAAATCATAAAAGAAAAGATCACTACCACCAAGATCAAAGTTATTAAGATAACACTACCTTCTTTTTAGGAAGTCCTTTATCTTCCTCCTTGGTCCCCTTGCTACTTTTGCCTGGTTTGGCAACCTTCTGCTCTCCTGGCTGTTTAATGGTGATCCGAATCTCAGGGGGACAGATGTAATTCTCCAGGCTCTTAGGGGGCTTCTTAGCCCGTTTGGTCGTCTGGATCTTCAGCTTGAGGCTCCCTTCGGAGAAGCTAGCCTCCTTTATGGAGAACTCCTGCTCTTCTAACCCGTCTCCCTGCGCCCACTTCTCACTGTCCGGGTTGGAGTTGGCATCCACATCTCTGGCCAGTCCCAAGTCTTCCTCCTCTTCAGGTTCGGCCCTCTGACCAGCTACGGGGAGCCCCTTTCCTGGAAGAGGGAGGGGACTCCCAGAATCCTCAGGGATGGGACCTGGGATTGGGGTGCTGCCGCCTGGTCGAAACTCAACCCCCTCACCCCCCTTTGGTCGGGTGGGGCCAGGAAGTTCTCTTTGCTCCATCGACGTTCCCGGTCCTCAATTCGGGACGCAGAAAGGGGGGACAAACTCACAAGAGGATCGTGCAACGCTTCCAGACAGGGAAGGCTCAAAGATCTGAAACCGCTATTGCTTGAGAAATCCTATTAATCCCAGATGAAGACAAAACTGCAAAGGTGTCACTGCAGAGACAATAAAGGAAAACAAAGTCTTAAAATGCATATAGGATCAATATTTCTCCATTTCACCAATCCATAATCCCAATACTTCTCTTTGCAGAACATCAAATGTATCCGTTTTGTTCAGATTTTACCACATTCCATAAAGGAAAGGCATATCCTTTGTATCTATGCGAAAAGTTTTGTTTTAAAGGATAAAGATCAATTTACTGTGCACATATACAACTAAATCAGTCCAGTAAATCCAGTAGAAATGTTTTGAGAATGAATGTATGCCATTATCATTCATAGCAACCGTATATCTGTAAATTCTATTATCTGAACCTTTTCCATTAACAGGCAAACCATTCCTACTAAGAAACCCTGTGTTCACGGAAAAGATGTCTTGATGTACATGTGTGCCAATTCTTCAAAAATGATCAAACAGCTTTCCCTTTTTAATATTACCAAACTTAATTTGGGTTTGTAAAAGCTGAATACTTTTTTCCAAAAAAATATATGAACAAATTCATCCAGATAATCTTATCTAGCTATAGACATTAATATTCAACTTTGGGTATTCCATGAGTAAACTTCCATCAACAGTTGCCAGTTTAGTTAGTTGTACGTCTTGCCTTTCATACTACTAAATATAATATACAAATATATGCATTTCACAGATATCCTGACGAATGTTTGCACTGAAGTTAAATTTAATATTCTAGTCTTATTTGGCATTTAGGCTACCTCTAGACAGCAACATCAAAATATCCAAAAATAAAAATGATCAATTACATCAATATAAATTATTATTCTAATAGAATTTAGCCAATACAACAGGAAGTAACAGTAGCATAATTAATATGAAAGACACCCATCACCTACTATTTATACTGATAAAAACAGAATACACTATGTCACCCAGAGCCCTGATTTTAGAAACATCTGTTAAATAGTTTAAGATGTCTATAATTAAATAAGTAGAGGGAACATTCTTTCTTACTTTGTCTAGCATGATTACCTCTAAATAATGGTGTGCACATACAGTTTGTAGTATGGTTATACAGTACATAAGAAAAGCAGTAGAAAAGTAGCAGTCATTCACATTAAAACACAAAGCACTGTCCTCATCTTATTAAAACATTTGAATTTGTTCAAAATATTGCTAAATATCTGAATAATTGTCAGTTATATCTCTTACAAATAACCCCATTTAAGTGAATTTTACTATTAAGAAAGATGGACTGTATTTAAAACATTTACAATGAAAGCTGCTCCATTTGTTTCTCTTTCATCTAACACAAACCAATTTGTAAAGAGGTATGGAGGTATGAATATTCTCTCTCAAAGGCATAATAGAGGCATGTTTTTAGAACAAGGCGTTTCTATAATTAATAATATTAATAATAATATTCCCCCAGAAACACAAGAAATTAAGTATAAGTATTCTGTATCCTAATTGAACATTAGCATCATTAAGCATCAATAAGAGTTAGTCCCTCTCATAGTTTGTTAAAAAAAACCTAATGTGGGGGTATCCAGGGCTGATAAGTTAAAAAGACAAATTTTAGCAATTTGTAATAAAGATTGCTCCCAGGTGCATCTTTCCAGCTAAATCTGCGACAGTTGGTTAACAATCTTCCCTTGATCTGGTTTGTGTTGGAATTGATTTAAGTTTACATTAAATTGCAGACTGCTTTTTTAAACCCAAACCACAGGTACACTACTGCTCATTCCAAGTGCAAGAATGAATTTGTAAGTCTGCTTCTGATGTACGTCCATTGAACCAAACCATTTGGCTGGATTTTACAATGAAATACTGTCAAGTACAAGGTCAGACATCACAGAAGACCATCATAATATTATAAGCCACCTCATTTGGTTTGTGGTGTGCTGCAGAATTCTTCAGCGAAAATGAACGAATAAGGAACTCCACATCAGACTTCTGACACCATGATAAATATATTTATTTTAAAATACCAAATAAATCAGTGACCTGCAAACCAATACTAGCTCCATCTCAAACAGACCTAATTAGGGTTTGAATGCTGTACTTCCATGGCAGCCTATTTAACATAATTGAACCATCAGTGTCAAACTTGGAGCCATTTTCTGTCAGTAGCAGACAGCTTCAATCCAAGTGAAGAACAAAAACCATAGGAATCTCATGTCTAATAACTGTCTGGCAGAGACATATTTCATAAAATCTCAATAAGACCTGTTGTAACAAGAAACAATACCATAGAATCACCATAAAAACTTTAAACGAAAGGTTTTAAAAAATTGAAAGAATTCTAGAGGTTTTTATTGCCTTTTCTAGTTTAAAAATGACACAAAGCAGGCTGTTTTGCCTCCAAAGAAACACTGTACAATTCAAAAGATTTTCCTGCAATTATTTAGGATACTAAAAACCCAACATTAATAACAAAGTACAATGCCTGACCTATCTTTACATCACTAACCTATGCTGAACAGTCAGATGTTTGTTTGTTTTTTTCATTTTATCCTAAATTGTTCTGTTATTTCTGTTCTTAAATGTTGTCCTTATTAAGTATCCCACCAGGAAAACACTACAGTAAAAAACAGGCTTATCCAAGGTAAGTGTGTAGAACTTTTCAGAGAAGTCAGTGCTACTATTTACTTATTTCTTCCCATTATTATAGCAAAGAGTTGCCAAGTTCCCCATGTGGTTTTGTCTCACAAGTCATTGCAGGACTGTATGTGCCAGAGAAGGTAATTACTAACAAATAACTAATAAGGTAATAAACTGTTGAAGCTGAAATCCTAAAGGAAGAAATATTATCCTTCTTCATAAAACAGTTGAACAACACCAATGATAAAACAAATGATTATATAGGGAATTCCAAGACTGATTTTTGGATATTTTACATGAGTTGGGTACCAGTGCTACAGGTTCCTATCATCAGTGCTTTGTATTTTTCCCCACCAGGATCAAGCAAAAAACAACACCTCAGTCCTGCAGGATATGTGTATCCTCATTCTTTCTTGCTATTAACCTTAGCTACACATTAACATGAATTTCCATTAAAATGCATACCCCTAGCAGGCCACCATTGTGAGTTTTCTTCCACAAAGAACAGCACAGGTGATTGTTTTAATCCCCTTTATGTTGAAGTTCATATTATTACTAATCCTATAATTATCCTCCAAACGTTATGAACTTCAACATGCCGTAAAGGAATCAAAACCACTTATGTTGTTCTTTGGGGGAAAAAGAATCTCACTGACTAAAGTAATGGTCTCACAAAAAGTCAAATATGAAACCACATCATGATAACTAACTACATTCACTATCTTTGAAAAGAGCAACACTGTATTGCTGATTATTACTGTGGTTTCCTTCCTTGGAGTATATTACAGAAAATGCACAACATAAAGTACCTATTATCTCCTTTTTTTTAGTTGGATTCAGGTCTATGTCCTTCTCTTTTTGAGAGAGTATGCTAAATACTAAGAAAAAAAAACTTTTGAACAGCTGTCAACAGAAAACTAAGTGCTAAGAATTTTTTTAAGGGTCCACCCAACAAGCTTACCTTGCAGGGATCACTGAGAGCTAAGATCTTGCATCAGCCACAGAGTAGTTATTAGAGACATAAAACCCCAGATTAATTACACTGGTGTATTTTCTAAGAACTGGGTCATCCTGTGGTGAAAGGACATTTTATTCTGCACACCGAGTACAGAAAGCACACGCACAAGAATGTTGTTTTTTTTCATTTAGTTTTTCTATTAGATAACATGGTATTGTTCGCAAACTGACAATCTCAGGATGTCTGAAAAGGCTGAACACAGCAGGGATCTGTTCATTGCAGTTTTCTTTTTTGCCTTCACTTGCAAGCTTTGAAACACAAAGGCTGAGTTTTATGGTCTCTATGATACATTGATCTCTGGAAAGACTGGTAATATCTCTTTACCGTTCTGTTATGTTCTCTTTGCCTGTGCTAATATGCATCAAATCAGATATGACAATTTAACAAATAATAAACTAAGAATGGATGTGAAATGTTGGCAAAAATGCATTCCATATCCTTTAAAACAACAACAACAACAAAAGGTGGATAACTCCTAAATTATTTTAAAGCCACAGTATTAATGTTTTTCTTGAAAAAGTAAATGAACAAAACAAATATCTTAAAATCCAATATGGTCTTGATCTTGTACCTTTCCAGCACAGTTAGATCATTACTATTTTAGGTGAAGGGTTTATTTAAAAAGCAGCAGTGGGCACAAATGAAGCAGCTGAGAGATCTCTTTTTTAAAAGTGTACATTAAGTTAAAAGTGTGGTTTACACAGCAGGATGGAGAACTCTAGATGCCATGTTCTGAGTGCATATAAACACCAAGTTCATGTAATGTTCAGATGAAATTTAATTCTGTTTATGATGCAAAATAGATAGAAGGTGTCACAAAAACACCTAACAACTAAGCTTGGTGTAGTAGATTCCAGTCCTACAAAGAAACACAGAAAAAACTTTACTGAGGTATGGTGATTACAATTACTTCACCTCTATGTTTCAAAACTATGAATTATGCCATTCCCTTATATATGGTACAGCACTGCGCATTAACAAACCTTTCATGGTTTCTTCTGCTTACACTTGCTCGGTATCACAAAAAAGGCACAATAGCAGGACCCTTTAGAAAGGTCTCTTTTTACCAATATCCAGGAGGCTGTTTTCTATGTTCATATGCAAAATGCAGGCATGAGTCATGGCATTGCCATTGTTGGAACTCCAGTATCTGATACCAGAGGTGTGATGTAGTGCAACGACCATAACTGAGTTTATGGGTCTTCAATGCTGCCCATATGGGTGGTCCCTCCTGAGTTATTACAGTTGATTGGGCCTAGTTCATGCATGGGTGTTTTCAAGCGCAGTGGTGATAGACGGATGAACCCTGAATAATGTTAGTATCCTTCACATTATATTGTTCACCAGCATAATTCCCAGTGTACGATCCATCTGTCTATCACTAACTAGAATCAGTGTGCCATTTAGGCCTGC